AACATGCCGGCATTCCATAAAATCATCTATTGACGTAGAATTTACGACATACATGCACCAGCGACATATCGATTGTAATCTGTGTATTATAAAAGAAAAAAAAAAGAAAGAAAAAAAAAAAACTAAGCTTTCTAAAATATTGAGGAAAAGATATCATTTTTCGCAAGAACTATCAATATCATAGTATTTTATAGTTTTTCACCTTACAGTAGCTATAAGAATAACACAACGTAATGATATTATTTGTTTACAAAACATTCAAAGCCATAGGGAGTGTTTAGAACTCGGATCGTTTTAATTTACAAAAAAAAAAAAATAAAAATAAAATAAAACATAATTAAGAAATTAAATCTTATAAATACATATTAAATTTAATGTCCATTATTTATAGAACCGGCGTAGATGCATTTTATCTACTTGAAATTTAGTATAAGATAGTAAAATAAATTTTCCCAGTTTTTTTATATTCTAAATCATAATGCAAATATCGTCTATTCTCATAATAATTAAACTGCCTGCTTCCTTTTAACTTTATATATTAATTTACATATCTTCATAATGTCATTATTTAACGATTGTAATTATATAAAATTTAATTTATCATTTCAAATATAACGCGAATAATTATACGAATAATGGTTTTTTTTCTGAATTACTAGATAGAAATAAAAAAAAAATCAATCGATATATTTTTTGAATATATTAGTTCATTAAGATACTATCGATTAATTAATATATTTAGGAAATATATTCGATTACAATTGACTGACACGCTGCTTTAATGCAAATTTAGTCAACTATATTATTTTGAAAGCAGAGTTACGTCAATCTTACGACCTTTTTCACTTTAGAAACACTAGATCGCTCAATGAGTTGAAGAATTTTGCCAAAATCATTTTCCATTTTATATTTCTCATAGTTTCTCAATAATTACTCACATAACATTTTAAATCCACCTTTATAATAGAGATATTATACGAGAATAGAGTAGATAAAAATTAATATCAATTCGTGATAAAATACAATTTCACTTGCTATATTAAAATCGAAGTAGCGCAATTAAAAAAAAAAAAAAAGAAAAAATCTACGTTCAACGATACCGCATACTTTCTCGCTGCCACACATCGTAGATTTGCAAAACTTCGTCGCTCGATAATCTCGCGATATTGCATTTATGGAAAAGAAGAAAAGAAGAGAGAAACGAATGCCCAGTTGAATAATCCAATAAAAAAAAAACCTCGATTCCTTCAATTATATATTTCAAATTATAACATGTTCTTCTTTCTTTTTAGCTCATTATTCTCATGTATAAGTAACCGTAGCCAATTAAAAATATTTTTCTCGTTAAAAAAACTTTACGAATTATCTTTACGAATATGTACATATGTAATGCAAATAGAAATATATATATATATATATATATATATTTTTTTTTTTGTAAATTAATGTTACTTTAAGAAGAACTTGTTATTACATTAGTCGTTGAAGTTTTAATAAAGTATAAAGTCTATTTATTATTATTAATTTCAATGGTAATTAAATTAATTTTATTGTATTAGAAGAACTTTCAATAGGTTAATCCGTCGTTACAGGAAGTTCTTCGTATATCTACACTTTTATAATTGTTGCCTTAATATTTCACTCAATTATACGTATGAAGATATAATTAATTTCTATGAATATAGAAAATGATGATGTTCTTTCGAATTCAAATAGAACGTTACGAGGCGTAAATATATTGTAAATGTTTAAGAGCGATTTCCCCTTTTGTTTAAACGTTTTTCACTTCATTGTTAACTTTTGTTTCTATTAGTATTGAAAGAAAAAGTGAAATAAAGCTCTTTCGTTTTTCTAGAGAATGCAAGTTATGTGAATTATATTTGCCTAATATAATAATATCATTTATGTAATCTCAATGATTTTATAATATTTCAATTTCGCGATGAAATTAAAAATTGCACACTCTATTATATTATAAATTATTTAATGTATTAATGCTCTCTTACACTGCAGCATGAAAAGAGAATTTAATGGACGAACGCCAAATTCAACTATTATTCAGGCATTGCTTGTGCGCATGCGTACTCGTGGTTGTACTTATCAAAGCAGTCGCGCATTAATTATATTAATTGTGACTTGAGATTTACAGTGAGCCTACACACATATACGTGCGAGTGTATATTTGTACAACGAATGAATGAGAGAGCAAGAGTGAGAACTATATGCGTGAGTGTGTGTAATTAAAGAAATTAACCAAGTGTCTTTTTGGTTTTTTTTTTTTTTTTTTTTTTTTTTTTTTTTTATCTTCGCTCTCTTTATTTCTTCCACTTATTAGATAATATGGGAACGGTTTTTCCTCTAGCTTATTTACTCAAATAATAGAATCATATCCACGGTTACGATCTAGTTATTTTTGTCGGATACGATAGAGTTACAATTACGGATGAATTAAGACGGCGAGTGATGTTAATGTGCGGAATAATTTGTACTTAATGATGTTATTTGTATTACGCAAGAAAATCTATATCCATAGTGGTTAAAAGCGAAGTCTTAAAATATAAAATAATAAATGACGAGGAAAAATTATAATTAACGTTAACCTGACATGAATTTCCATGACATAGCACTGTATGAATAAACAGAATGAAAATAAAAAATTATAGAAAATGTTTGCCATTTATGTAGTTAAAAAATAAATTGAATACAAGTAGGAATGGAAGGGTTTCATGATTAATGTAAAACGCAACGTCAGCTTGAATTTTTCAATTAATTTCTCAAGATATGATTAATTAATATAACGACATCATTATCTTAAATATATACTAATTTATAATGCTTTGTAACATTGTTTATGTAATGCAATGTACCGTTCATACGCTAATAAATAATATTTTATTACATGCGTAGCGTCTAATCTACGTTTAATTCCAAAAGTGCTTGTTGATTTGCAAAAAAATTTTTGATATTTTAACGCATAAAATCTTTTGAGAATTACAAAATTACAATACAAAACAAAAAATGCTCTTTTCTTTAAAGCAATATGTTTAAATTGTGAATTTTTGGCATTAATTTTGTCTTTAATGTATTTTCATGCTTAAAAATTATTCGAAATTTGAATGAGACTTAAGAGTAATGGCACTTAGTATTTTTGAAATAAATTTCACGCAGACGATTTGGTTGATGCTTTTGTATTAAATACAGAGGGAAATTTATTATCTAAAAGTAGATCGGTTAAATCGCGTCTATTTTAATGTATTTCAGGAATATAAATTTTGCTTATTCAATAACTCATTTGTTATTTTAAAATAATAAATACGTCATTGATTTTCAGTTGTCGGACCTTATAAATAATTTTCTGCGATTCGGAATGATTTCATATTTTCCTTCATTACCAACATTTATTGAGCTCACGAATGTATGAATGATTTTTTTTTTTTTTTTTATTATTATTAAAAATCATAGCAAAACACGTGATAAACAAAAATCTCCGTTAACTGGATTTTTTTTATTCCTTAATTGAAAACGGAGAGTCGATAAGTCATTTCCACCATCAAAAGTCTATATTTTCACCCAAAAACGTGACTGTTAAATGATGTTGAGCGACGTAACAGTAAATCTTTGGTTCCATGCCGTACTACACTCTCCCTTACTACCACCAGAAGAAAAATGTATTCGCGCTATTTAGATGCGTAGGCGTCGATGTTGGCGATAGCACGTACTTCCATCGAGTCAGGTTATCTTTTATTATCAGTAACAATGCTTGCATTAGCTATAGCTCATTGTACTACCTTAATCCATATGATTTTTCTCCAAGTAGTAGATACTATTCGGTCGCTTCGATGTGTATACGTCACAGAGCCTCCCTCCCCCACCGCAAGGCAGCGATTAAAGAATATTTAAACGACATTGCAGGATGCGTGAAGAACAACGTTCATCATCCTTCTGGAACGGAATGGACGGAACCTAGCGATCCCTGCAGGATATATACTTGTAATGCCGGCGTTATTACAGAATCGAAACTACGCTGTTACACTCCTTGTGCTAATCCAACTCCACCAGCACCGGGACAATGTTGCCCAACCTGTACAGGTAAATAATATTGCTATAGAATTACTATACATAATGACAAGAGGACAAGAGAATTGATAATAAAGAAAAATTACATAGGATTACATAGCTTACGGAGCACTAACAATTATTAGTGTTTTAATGCTCGAAAGTATGTGCATTTAATATTGATTGTCACTGAAAATTTATGGATAAATTAGGAAAAGTATATTTTATCAATTGCATATGTCGACGTTATCGTATATGTTGTACAAATAATTAATATATTTTAGCATGTGTAATAATTATAAAAAAACGCATAGTTTTACAATAATTTTTAATAATGCAATTAGAATATCCCTTGTATCCCTCTTTTTATTATTTATCAAATTTTTGACAATATACAAACACTACAAGTCGAACAAAGGTATTTAGGTTGAAAGTGTGTTAGTGTGTCAGTGTGCATGCGCGTGCGCGAATAAGAAAATAGCAGTATTTAAAAAATTAAAGTAATTTCTTAAATGTACTTCAAGGATGCTATGTGAATGGACAAAAAGTAACAGAGGAAAGATCGGTCATGACAACGGAGGATCCTTGCGTTACTTGTAGGTGTAATATGGGTCGACTGACGTGTGCGAAAAAAGCTTGTCCAGTACTGCATTGTCCTGTATCAAGAATCGTTCAAGAGCCAGGAGAATGTTGTCCGCGATG